GACAGATGAACCCCTCAGGACCAGTGGTGAGAGTGGCGATACTGGGAGGGAAGAGGGAGTGTGTGTGTGTGGAGGGGGTGGGGGGTGGATAGAAAGGGGGAACCAATTACAAGGATCTACATAATATAACCTCCTCCCTAGGGGATGGGCGACAGAAAAGTGGACAATGATACTTCTAAAAGGGAGGTTTTGCAAGCACTAGAAGCACGTGTATTGCTGCTGCACTCTGGGGGCGCTGTTGGGTAAGAAAGAGTTCAACTGCTTGCTAACCGCAAAGTGGGTGGTTCAAACTCACCAGCGCGCTGCTGAATACAAGATGAGGCTATCAGTGGCTGGGAAAAGTTGTCAATGCCACTGACAACTCATGGCCCTGTGAGTTTCTGAGACTGTAACTACTTATAGGGTTAGAAAGCCCCATGTTTCTCTCGCTAAGTGTCTGGTGGTTTCAAACTGTGGGCCTTGTGATTAGAGCCCAATAGGTTACACACTACATCACCAGGGAACCTTCAGGAAAGAGTGACATCCTCCGAAATCCGGTAGAAAGTCATTGTGACTTGCTGGCAATGGGTTGAGGGAGTCCAGTGCTGCCCCGTGGATTACGCACAGAACTGCTTACCCGAGTCTTTGGTTTAAACCCAAGAGCACAATCCACTCCGTGAAAGAAAGATGAGACTAAAGTCCCAGTTGGGGCTGGATAGAAACTAGGTCAACATTGTCCAATTAGGAATGTAGTACCAGACATACTCTCCCCTTGGGTTCTGTTTCAGTGGGTTCCCCGCCCCCCCCATGGGAGATTGCTTCACCGGTTTACCCACCAACAGCAGTGTAATCACCTTCCCTGCAGCATATCTGCCCCCTCCTCACATGGTGACTAGCGTTTCCAGTAAGGTACAGTGAACACGCTAGTGGCGTACCTGTGGACCTGGGCAACCTGAGCTCAGTGCAGTACGACAGCAACGGACAGGTCTTCTCCCTCCCTGACTTCCGCCGAGGTGAGGTCTCCATCAAAGTGGTTTTTAAGATGCGCGTGTGAGGGAATGATATATAGTTCATAGTCACTAGGCAGGTGCTCACTAAAGCAGTGGTTCTCAACCTGTGGGTCACGACCCCCGTTGGCAGTCCAACGGCCCTTTCACAGGGGTCACCTAAGACCATCGGAAAACACATATTTCCGATGGTCTTAGGAACCGAGACATCGCTCCTCTATCCATCTCCAGGTGGGTCTGCCCACATGCAGATATGCCCACATAAGAGTACCCAGCATGAAGACTGTTACCCATGCTCTACCATGCTTCAAGACAAACTTTCACTGATTTGTCATTAGAAATAAATATTTCACAATATATAATTATGTATTGTTTCGGTGATGAATCGCTATGCTTTAATTCTGTTCAATTTGTAATAATGAAAATACATCCTGCAGATCAGATATTTACATGATGATTCATAACAGTAGCAAAATGACAGTGATGAAGTAGCAATGAAAATAATTTTATGAGGAACTGTATGAAAGGGTCAAGGGTCACGGCACTAGGAACCACTGCACTAAAGCATTTTGAAGAACCAAAAAGAAACAAAAGCCAGAGGGTTCAAACCAGAGGAATGCCAATTGATCCTCCTCGTGAGTGATTTTGTAGAGCAGGGCTTTGGAGACTGTGTTCAGGGTTTTCTCAGGCTCCTTTCTGTTCCGTTTCGCTTGCCTGCCTCTCACCTGCCACACATGGAGAATTCCACTGTCTTTTAAACTTCATTTGCTGGCAAAGGCTATAGCTAACCTGGCTCAGGTAGGAAATGAGAAGAGATAAAAATATGACAAACAACAGAAACATGGATGAAGAGAGACAGCGGATGGTGAGGGATTTGAAAAAATATTAATTTATCATTTATCAAGGTTTCATGAGGTTGAGAGGGTTAGGGAGAGAGGGACACAAAAGAAGGAGCTGATACCAAGGGCTCAAGTAGAAAGAATAATTTGTAAAAGGATGATAGCAACAGACGTACAAATGTGCTTGACACAATGGATGTATGGATTGTCATAAGAGCTGTAAGAGCCCCTAGTAAAGTGATTTTTTAAAATTAATAACAACATTGGAAATGCTCACAAGAACACTTAGGAGACAAAGGGGGCTATTGTGAATTTTCTTTACTAACCTCAGTAACGTCAAAGTGCCTTGTTTGGCTAATAGTAGGGAGAACACAAGTGAAATAGAAGGGACCAGGGAAGACAGTATTATCGAATGAAGAGTGGGAAGGAGAAGGAAGTCCACCATCTCAGGCATCACTTGGCAGCTCCGAGCTGTGCTATAAAACATACCAGAGAATGCACGGGTGGCAAATAGCACAGCACTTCATTTCTTTGGCAAAACATAACAAGTAATGTAAATCAGACATAAATCTCGTTTTAAGAAAAAAGTAGAGGAAGCTTCTAAAAGTGAGAGTGTATGAAATTATAAGGCCAGAAATGAGGACCTCATTTCATTAACGATGTGGATAGCCAATTCAAAATTGCTGACTGTGTCTGAAAATGGTCCAATCTAGGTAAAGTGGGCAGAGAAAGCTGGACTGGCACTTGCACACGCATCTGGCGATGACAAATAGCAAAGACTTCAGAATCCTTGGCATGGATGAATTATGACTTAATTGTACCACCCAATCTTCTTTATTCATCCGCTTTCTCTCTTTTTCTTTTTAAACGACTCCTGGGAGCTGAACTTTAAATAATAGTCTGAAGGAGGGAACGAACACAGTCTGCAGTTGTCATGGATGCACACCAATGCCCAAAGGTTGGATAAAAAGGAAAGAGAAAGGAAGAATTCCTAACAGAGAATGATGTCAGCCAAACAAGGGAGGGGCAGTGACATAAGTTGTATGATTCATATATAGGATTATTTAATCAGTTTGTAGGTAACTAAATTTATTTAAACTGAGTCATTGCTACAACTCTTAAATAACCTAAAACAATGGTTAATAATGATTCACACATAATGTGATGCTAAGATTACCTTCTTACAATATCATTTTAAATAATTACTCTTAGCTTTGTTGAAACCCCCCCCCCCCCCCCCCACACACACACACACTCATAGGGCCCACATGTATACTGTGTCAGACCATAATGACTTATAGGGATTTCAATGGATTGCTTTTTAAGTAGGTCTTCAAGCCTTTCTTCCCTGGCTGCCTTAGTCAGGAGGCTCAATGGAACCCCTTCCAGCATCAGAATAACATCCCACCCACCACTGACTGAAGGGTGGTAATTGTGTTTGAAGTGCCTTTTTCCAAGAATCAAACTCAGGTGTCCCACAAGGGAACAGAAAAATCTATCAGTACCCTAGCAATGCCTCAGTTCTCTGAAGATTGTGTGTGTGTGTGTGTGTGTGTGTGTGTGTGTGTGTGTGTGTAAAGAAATTTGATTTGTACAAGGAAGTGAGGGAAATCTGGAATCACTTTTCCAATATGAAAGTAGCCACAAACCTCTTCGCTGACCAGCCGTCAATCATTCCAGTAAAATGATATAAAACATGAGGATCCAATGAAGGAGGTGGTTAAGAGACAGATTGGTATCCTCTGCCAGCATCCTTTGCTCTTTTATCTCTGCTGGGGTTGTTGTTTGTGTGGCATCAACCCACTCCAACGCCTACCAGCTCTAGGAGAGCTGGTAGACCTGCCCCGTCGCTGTTTGGGATAGGCATTGGGCCGCCATCTGAAAAGTCAGTGCTCTGCAGGATGCTCTGCAGGAGAAAGATGAGGCTGTCTGCTCCCATAAAGAGAAACCTTCTATAGGATCACTATGAGGCAGCGGGTTACTCATTGGGCTGCTAATCCCAGGGTCCACAGTTCAAAACCATCAGCTGCACCACAGGAGAAAGATGGGTCTTTCTCTTCCTCAGACTCAGCAACCCATGGGGGGCAGTTCAACTCTGTCCTATAGGTCACTGGGAGTCAGAATCAATGGCATGGCAGTGAGGTTGAGGTTTTTATTGATTTTATTAGTGGCGATGAAGTCCGTGGCAGTGGGTTTG